CTGCCATCTGTCACACAGCAACAACATGGAAAGGAATATTGGTGGGAAGGTTCAACCTCTACTGCCATACAGCAACATCCACCTCTGGCACTGTGATCCAACATCATAAAATGAGAGGCGTTACTTTTGGAGCAGCCTTCCTAAACTGTACAATGTACTTAACATGTTTATGTAACACAGATTAATTAATTTGAATCAAAACATTTTTTATTAAAAAAAATAGGAGGCAACAAACCCACAAAACTAGCGGGGTGTTTGACAAACGCCTCAGCCTGGTTTGATGGCAGTGGCTGCTATTTGTAGTGAGGTCTCAAGGTGTTTGTCAGAGATTTTTTGATGGAAGTTTACTCTTCCTGCACCTCCTCCTTGAAAATAATTCCTCAAAAATGAGTGCACTGCCGAAAAGTGATGTGTTTGTTAGGATTGCTTCAATCAGAATCACAGGGGTTGGAAGGGACCTCAGGAGGTCACTGAGCCCAACCCCCTGCTACAGCAGTACCCTACAGCAGGTCGTGCAGGCGGGCATCCAGGTGGGTGTTTAATGGGAGGTGGTCACAGTGCTCTCTTTTTTGGAGTCCTTCTTTCACTTGGAGGATAGAATCTGTGCAAAACTTGAGAGCTTAAGGGCAGAATTCTCTGAGCATGAGGGAGAGCAGATGCAGGATGACTTGGCTGTTTGCTGAAAGGCATCCTTTTGTAATGGAAATGAGCGAGAGGAAAAACTGTGCTGTTGGAAATCTTATTCTGCTCTGTCCTTCTGGGAAGTACTGGGTGCCCAGAACTGTTAGTTGTGAAGTTCATGATGTGCTTGAAAGCACCAGCAGATGTCCAGACCTGTTCTGTTTTCCATCTGGACAGCAGCAGTCAGGAGCTTTCAGGCTTTTAGCGTTCCAGAAAGCAGTAGAGCTGCATCCTGGTGGGCACGTTTCTTGTACTTTCATCCATCCATGCATGTCTTTTACAGTGTTAAAGCTCTTGTTTGAGTGTTGAGATGATATTAATGAGTATATATGTATTGTTTCTGTTGTTTTGAAATACGAATATATATGAATAAGAATAATAAGGTGAGGTCCCAGAAGACTGGAGGCTTGCCAATGTGACTCCCATTTCCAAGAAAGGTCGTAAGGAGGATCCGGGGAGCTACAGGCCTGTTAGCCTGACCTCGGTGCCAGGGAAGGTGATGGAGCAGATTGTCTTGAGGGAGATCATGAGGCATGTGCTGGGGGATCAGGCCCAGCAGCATGGGTTCGTGAAGGGCAGGTCCTGTTTGACCAACCTGATCTCCTTCTATGATCTAGTGACCCATCTGGTGGATGAGGGAAAGGCTGTTGATGTGGTCTACCTAGACTTCAGCAAAGCCTTTGACACTGTCTCCCACAGCATCTCCTGCAGAAGCTGGCAGCCCAAGGCTTGGATGGATACACTCTTGGCTGGGTAAGGAGCTGGTTGGAGGGCCGGGCACAGAGAGTGGTGGTGAATGGAGTCAAATCCAGCTGGCGACCGGTTGTGAGTGGTGTTCCCCAGGGGTCGGTGCTGGGGCCTGTCCTCTTCAATATCTTTATTGATGACCTCGATGAGGGCATCGAGTGCACCCTCAGTAAATTCGCAGGTGACACCAAATTGGCTGGAAGTGTGGATCTGCCTGGGGGTAGCGAGGCCCTACAGAGGGACCTGGACAGGCTGGAGAGCTGGGCTGAAGCCAATAGGATGAGTTTCAACAAGGCCAAATGCCGGGTCCTGCACTTCGGCCACAACAACCCCAGGCGACGCTACAGGCTTGGGGCGGTGTGGCTGGATAAGTGTGAAGAAGAGAAGGACCTGGGGGTATTGATTGATGCTCGGCTGAACATGAGCCCACAGTGTGCCCAGGTGGCCAAGAAGGCCAATGGCATCCTGGCTTGCATCAGAAACAGTGCTGCCAGCAGGAGCAGAGAGGTGATTGTTCCCCTGTATTCAGCACTGGTGAGGCTGCACCTCGAGTACTGTGTCCAGTTTTGGGCCCCTCACTGCAGGAAAGATATTGAGGCCCTGGAACGTGTTCAAAGGAGGGCAACAAAGCTGGTGAGGGGTCTGGAACACAGGGCTGATGAGGAGAGGCTGAAAGAGCTGGGAATGTTCAGCCTGGAGAAGAGGAGGCTCAGGGGAGACCTCACTGCTCTCTATAACTTCCTGAAGGGAGGTTGTAGTGAGCTGGGGGTCGGCCTCTTCTCTCGTGTCATCAGTGATAGGACCAGGGGGAATGGCTTCAAGCTACGGCAGGGGAGATTCAGGCTGGACATGAGGAAGTATTACTTTTCAGAAAGGGTGGTCAGGCACTGGAATGGATGCCCAGGGAGGTGGTGGAGGCACCGACCCTGGGGGTGTTCAAGGAAAGGCTGGATGTTGTGTTGAGGGACATGGTTTAGTAGGAGCTGTTGGGAATGGGTGAACGGTTGGACTGGGTGAGCTTTTAGGTCTTTTCCAACCTTGGTGATTCTATGATTCTATGATAATATGTGAATGTTATAATATTCAAAATATATGGATATATGATTATATGAATATGAAAGGTTAGGGAATGGATAATCTCAGGAGCCATCATGGGCCAGTTAAAGGTCAACCAGGGGCTCAGGCCTAGTCAGCATGGGTTTATGTATGGTAGATCCTGCCTGACAAACCTGATTTCACTCAATGACAAGGTGACCTGCTTAGTGGATGAAGGTGAGGCTGTCCATGTGGTCTACCTGGACTCCAGTGAGGCCTTTGGCACTCCCCTACAGCATCCCTGTGGAGAAGCCAGCTGCCCGCGGTTCGGATGGGCGCACGCTCTGCTGCTGACACGCTGGCTGGATGGCTGGGCCCAAAGCGCTGTGGTCAGCAGTTAAATCCAGTCAGCAGCCCAGAGAAGTGTCCCCCAGGGCTTGGTACTGGGGCCACTTCTGTTTAACATCTTTATTAACGATTTGATGAGGGGATTGGGAGCACCCTCAGTAAATTTGCAGACAGCACCAAGTTGAGGGAGCGTTGATCTGCCTGAGGGGAGAAATGCCCTGCAGAGGGATTGATGGGCCAAGGTAAACTGGGCTTGCTGGTGCTTTGTCAGGGTGATGTGCCAGTGGGATCTCTGAGGAGCCAGCCTTGATACCAGATTTGTTCTGCATTCCCAGTGATGTGCAGAGAAGATCTCACGGTAGAAACCCCCATTTTCTGAGTCTTGTTACAGTCTTAGTTAAACGTTGTGCTAATAGTGGGGAGCTGAGCAGTGAAAAGATGGTAGATGAGCATGAAGTTGGTAAATGCAACTATCTTCTGTCCAAGCCATGGATAGAAGAAAAAGTGACCTGTGCTGTGTCTATAGGAAAATCTTAGCTGGGATAAGCATTGGCTTGTGGACTTTTGGCATTGTGATTTCCAGTTCTCTAAAATCCTTCGCTCTGAGTGAAGTGGCAGCCCGAGGATAGACAGGATCTCGTGAGGAAGGCTGCTGAGCAGGGGGAATAGATAGATGGTCACGGGGATGGAGCAGCTGCCTCGTGACATCGGAGCTGCCAAGGCAGGGACTGCAGCTGCAAGGATAGAGCTGACGGGACGTGATCCAGGTCCTCGTGGCTTTGGAGGCAGTGCTAAACTAAAGGAGCACATGTGGGGAGTGGGAGGGTGTCACTTAAAGCAGCTGGTAGGGTGGGATTCTTCATGTTAGTGGAGGGTGTCTGCTATTTATCACCAAGGTGGGATCATGGGCTGAGAAAGGAATTAGATTTGTCTGCAGACACTGAAGGGACTGGAGGAATGGACCTTCCTAATGAAACCCCTATGGGTGATCAGGAGATCTGGGAGGTCAGACAGCAGAAAGTGCCCAAGATTGCATGCTGGCTGTCTCTAAATAGCATCTCAAACTGCTGCCGTTGGGAGCTGTGCTCTGACCAGAGCACTGATCTGACTGACGGGTCTCTTCTTGTGCTCAGAGCATTCGTTCACTTTTAGGGAGAGTCTTGTGGAATGAGCTGATGTGTTGGAATGGCTGCTTACTCAGTGGCTTTTTTGTCAGGAACTGATTCTTTCTTGTTTATAGGTGTCTGTTCCTATTGCTACATTCCTTCTAAATTGAAATGTTAACTGTTTCCTGTTAATTCCAGTGGTATCAGCAAAATGTCTGTTGTTCTCTGCATGTTACTTTCTTTTCCTTTCTGTGGCAGTATCCTACATCCTGTCAGTAACCAGCTTCACAGAATCACAGAATTGTAGGGGTTGGAAGGGACCTCCAGAGATCATCGAGTCCAACCCCCTGCCAAAGCAGGTTCCCTACAGCAGGTCGCACAGGTCGGCATCCAGGCAGGTCTTGAACATCTCCAGAGCAGGAGACTCCACCACCTCCCTGGCAGCCTGTTCCACTGCTCCGTCACCTCACTGTACAGAAGTTCCTTCGCACATTGGTGCAGAACTTCCTATGCTGCAGTTTCCGGCCGTTTCCCCTTGTCCTGTCTCCACTCACCACTGAAAAGAGTCCGGCCTCGCCATTCTGCCCCCCACACCTCAGATACTGATAGACCTGGATCAGGTCCCCTCTCAGTCTTCTTTTCTCAAAGCTTCTGAGCTTTGAGTCAGAGATTATCACATACTGCAGCTTTATGTACGTGATCACTGTTTAATTAACTCACTACACTGTGGTTCTGTCATTGAGTTCATATTTGTATTTTGTTTTTAGTTTCCAATTAAAAACTTGTGGTGTGGGACTTCCCAAAGTTGCTTTTCCAAGGGTTGGAGTTGATGGCTAAAATGCTGCCTTTGTTTCTGAGTTTGCTTGGCACGTGACTTACCAGCTCCTGATGTGGGTGCATGCAAGGGTCGTGTTTATAAAGGCCTTTAGTACTTTTAGATGCAGAATGCCATGGTTTTTGAGTACAGTACGTCATTAGACACCAGATGGTAAGTATGTGAAATCTCATAGAGTACCTCACTAAAAACACTGAGCTCTTGGGTAATTTCGATGGCCTCTCAATCTTTTAAATCTCTTCTTTCAGGAAGTTAAGAAAGAAGAGCCCAAGGATGATGCCCTGCCACTCAGAAGGGAGAAATCTGGCAATGTAGCAAGCCTTGTGCAGCGTATTTGCACCTATGGGCTTCCAGCAGGAGGAATTCAGCCTCATCCGCCGTCCAAAAGCTTCAAGAAGAGTACGTAGTGTTTAGAGTTCTTTCAATTGCATAAGCTGCCAATGAGTATTTTTTTAATAAATGTTAATTATTTAATGCCTGACTCAGTTTCAAAGATGTGCTGGAGACACAGGAGCCCAAGCTTTTTATTCTAAGCCAGCCTGTGCTGGTAGATGATATAGTTTTCTTAATGGCAGTAAGGATGAATTCTTACAGGAGCAGAATTTAGACCCCTTCCATATCCCAGAGAATATTGCCTAGCTATTTTGATGAGCATAGGAGGCAATGAAAAGTCACTGTTGCTACTGACTTTCATGTGAGCTCAGTTCATATTGTAATGTATCCAAATGAGGACTGAAAGCCTGTTCGTGGTAATTAAAAATCTCCTGTGGTCACTTCTGTAGTGTAAGTACATGTACTGTAGATAAGTTTTGCTACAAATTCAAGGCTGTTTGATGAGGAAATACTTTCCAGTTCAGGTTTTTCTTACTGGGTAAGTTTCTGCTGGTATGAAATAACATGGAGTTAGTAGAGGTATGGGAAAAAGTAGTGATCTTCCTTTTGGTTGTAAATGGAACCCCTAGGATGGTCAGGAGTGCAAATTGGTGCCTTCGTGTTTGTAGTTTCTATGTTGTAATGCCAGTGGTTAAATCAAAGCACCTAAAAACTAGAGGAGAAAACTTCCCCAGGCAGGGATTGCAGGTATTGGTAATTCTGCAAAGGCTGCTCTGAAAGTAATGCCTCCTATTTCATTATGTTGGCCCTTGATGTCAGAGGTGGATGTTGGTGGGGTGGCAGAGAGGCTGAGCTGTGTGTGAACGTCCCGTGTGTTGGCCTTGGATGGCTCCCACTGAACACAGCTGTTGTACATCAGGCTCTGGGCAGTGTTTCATTCTGTTAGTTTAGTGCATTTATTCAGGGAAATGAAAATACTGAAGGTGTGCTTAGCTGTGCTACGTTTGGTTTGCCCTGCACGGAACAAACACAGGGCAAAACAGATTGCTTTGGAAATGGGCAGAAGAAAGTGGTGGCAGCCAGCCTGACGTATGAGGCTGGGTTCTGCTTCCTGAGCTGCTCGGGGAGCTTCCCAGGTCAGCCTGGCAATTAGCACAGCTGGAAGGCACTGTTTTGAAGATGGATTGCAGGCGAGGGAGAGTTCTAGATGTGAAATACAGCTGCTTTTTTTTTTTTTAGGTTGAGTAGCATTACAGTGTGAAAAAGAAAGCTGATATCAAGTGTATATGAAATATGGCCTTGTAGCTTTTTAATTGACCATTTTTAGTATCAAGTAATCTCACCCAGAGAAGGAACCCTGGAAACATAGTAGGGGGCAGTAGGGGCCTATAACTGTTTATTTCAATTACTACCAAGGTAATAATCATTTTGGGCTGATGAGTTGAAAGAAAGGTGTATAACATGACCATTTATGTTATTAGAAATTAACCCACAGAGCTTCACGTTCTCATTTCCTGATTTTTTGCTTTCTAGAGCTGAAGCTGTACACCAGCACTGAGGTCCTCAGCTTCCTGATCCCTCTCAGATGCTGCTATGTTACTCAGTGTCTGGTTTGCTCTGTACTGAGAGCACTGCATGTTGACAGTCTTCTGATCTTCTGAGGTCAGACTTTCAGCTCTCTTGTAATAAATCATAGAGTCATAGAATTGCTCAGGTTGGAAAAGACCTCAAAGATCATCAGGTCCAACCACAACCTTACCATACTACCCCAAATGGAACAACACCTCTGCAAAATAGAGCAGCTTGGGAGGCAGTATCAGTTCATGTAAGGGAGTACAGAAATACTAGCACAGGGTCCCGTAAGCCTTAGCACTTGGAGAAAATAGCATGATTTTATATCAAGCAGGTGTGTTGGATCATTGCTGCTGGTGACAGTTGCCTTCAGAAGCATGCTGGCTGTTGTGGGCGAGGGCTCAAGGCACAGCCTTCTGTTTGAAGGCAAAAAGCATAAACTCTGTGAGCACAGCAGCGCTGTAGCACACGTGCAGCATGGTGGGGTGATGGTGGACTCCACCTCTGGCTGGAGGGGGTGTTGGAAGCTGCTTCAGCACCTTCCCCCGTTAGGATGTCATGTTATTTTAATGCCTGAAATGTTGTAATTATTTCTGGTGAACATCTACAGATAGCTACTTATTTTAATTTTGCCCCAGTGAAACCCTGCTCCTTAATGCTTTAGCTTGATTTCTTGACTCTGTTTGCACTGGGAAAAGAATGGTTTTTGTATTCAAAACTATATTTAGGTTTCAGAAATGCGAGCCAAGCAGTTCCTCAGCTGTGAAGTTAGCGAGGTCTCTGCTACAGGGAAGAAAGCAAAAGCTGCCATTGGCACTTGAGCACGGAGAAGAGCACAGCATTGGTCACTTCTTTCAGCACTGCTGAAGGACAGGAGGCTCAAACCTGCAGACCTGGTTTCAAAACAAGTGCTAATGCTGCAGCCAACGGTCATTTTAGTGGATTTCACTCAGGAAACAGGTTGAAATTCATAGTACTGGGGGCATCTCTGACTTGCTTGTGTCAACATGTTTTTTTATAGCATGTTAGCAGCTGTCTGTGTAGTATTTGCTCATCTGTAACTAGCAGTGTGAGGTGCTTGATTGTTTTCAAGCTGCATCTAAGGTATAGTGCGATAGGCTGAAATGACACAACTGGAAAAAAAGAAGCATATTTCATGGCTGTTGGGGGTAGCTTACAAGTGTTCTTGTCACATCTGACCCTCAGGAGCTGAGGAAAAAGCACCTTTCATTTCTAAGTGTTGTTGTTTCTCCCTTTCCCTCCCGTCAGAGCCCAAGAAGCGGCAGTGCAAAGTGCTCTTCGAGTACCTCCCGCAGAACGAAGATGAGCTGGAGCTCAAGGTGGGGGATGTGATTGACGTCAGTGAGGAGGTGAGCTGTGGTACAGAGCTGCTTTCTTCTTCGTGTGGCCAAAAGCGACTTTGAAATTTCATCTAGTTGTTGATTACAAGAATGTTGGAAGTCTAGCATTTAAAGCAGTATGTTAGAAGGTAAAGCAAATAGCGGAGTTCTTTCTCCCAGGTTCTCACCCTGAATCAAAAAGTACTGGAAGTGTAGGGGGGAAGTATTTGGTGTTCTCAGCAATAGAACATTTTTTAGCTTGGAGAAGAGAAGGCTGTGGGGTGACCTTATTGTGGCCTTTCATTGCTTGAGGGGAGCAGGTAAACAGGAGGGGGAATGGCTGTTTGTGAGGGTGGGTGGTGATGGGACAAGGGGAATGGGATCCCAGTGCTTGCCAGGAGTGACTTTCCGTTCTCTTGGTAAGGAAGTAGTTGTGCTCCCAGATGTGTTTGCACCATTGAGCTCTACCATTTGTTCTGTTAGCCTGAGGGATTCTGTTAGAATGAAGATAGCAGTCACTGTTAGCTTCAGTGTCTTGGTAAACCTGCTCACTAAAGTCAGCGTCACAAATACCTTTATGGGCATTTTGTAAAGGGGTGCTCCTGGATATTTAGCTTCATTTGTGGAAGCTGCTAGTTACAGCAGTCATGGCTTCATGGCTGCTTAGGAACTGTTTTTTGGGGACATGCTCTGGTTTTGTTCTTGTGTTGCTGCTTGTTTCCTGTGCCCTTGCTAATCCCTTTCCCACACCCTAGGCAGCTTTCAATGAAGAGCAAATTCCTCCAAGGCTGTGTGCTTCCATAGAGGACTGTGAGGATAGCTGGCCCAGAAAATGCTTGTCCAGTAATCAGTCCCTCAGAATGGGTGCTCAGAACACACCTGCTTATTTGAAAACTAACAAAAAAAAAAGGGAAATCCACTAAGAATAGTGGTTCAAAAGTATGTATGTGAAGCCTCTTGAGATTCATTTATATGGATTGCTTGTTTGTTTTTTGTTATAACCTTTCTGTGTGTATAATTGACATGTGAATGCAGTGCAGTTTCCATATTCATATCACAGAACCATAGACTGGCCTGGATTGCAAAGGCTCACAACACTCATCCAGTTCCAACCCCCTGCTATGTGCAGCATCACCAACCAGCAGACCAGGCTGCCCAGAGCCACATCCAGCTCAGTTCTCAGTGATTGAACTGTATTCAGTTGCTCTGATGAGCTTGTGTATAACTTTGGCAACTGATTCAAGAAAAGAAAAGTTAAACTTCTTCTCAGTTCCTAATAGGCAGACAAATAATGCAGCTCCCTCCTCCTGGCTCTCCTCTGGTCCCACAACCTGTCCTATTGATGGGGAGCTGAAGACTGGAGGTAGATGGCTTCAGAAATGACCTGACCAGCATCAAGGAGGGCTGGCTGTAAGGCTCAGGAACAGGGAAGAGCTGTGTGCAGTATGTTGATTAACCAGGCTTTTCTGCTATCAGAACTTGTGGGCTGTGCAGGCAAGGCACATGCACAGATGATAGCTCTATGATTTCTGCAAACCTTTTCTTTCTTCTTTGTGCCTTTTCCTCCATACTTGCTGGGTACAGAACCAAATAGTGTGCTTGTCTGTGGTATGTGCACAGCCTTCACTGTTGGATCTTTAAGAAAGAATTCAGACCAGCAAAGTTGTTTGTCATTTTTTCCCTTTTTCTCAGAAGTCTGAGTGCTGTCCTGTTACAGAAATAACTTGGTAGAATTAATAGAAAGCACTGATGCGTGCCCCAAAGCAGTGCCTCCTTATAGTGGAAATGGTGTCCTGTAGTAGGATTTTGAAATGCAAGGTGTCCTCAAATGGTCATCTCTAGTGTTAGCATCCAGAAAGGTTTATCTTCTATCAGAACACACAGGTTTCAACAGATGCAAAGCCAGAGGAAATCAGACTGATGGGAACTGGAAGGTGCAGACTGGCAGCAAAACTGCACAGAAGTCTCCTTAGGAAGCTGGACTGCTGGTTTCTTTATTTCACAAATAGAGCCATCTTTTCTTTCCTGTTAAATAAATAATTCCTAATGTTCTGTCTGTTCTCGAGGGAGGTGATGAACGTTTTGCTGTTCTGGATTGTAAGACGTAGGACTGATCTCATGGCAGGATTGTTGCTATAGAGATGGAAATGGCAGTAAATTATTTACTTGCTCTCATTTTTGCTGACTGTTTCTATGTGTTTGATATGCTATTTTATTATTTTTAAGGTAAGCCACGGTCAGTTGATGTTTCCCAAAATTGTTCACGGTGTTTTAGAAGTGAAGTGTGAATGCAATGGATAAGCATCTCTTAAATTGCTTTGATGCCATAATTAAACGTTGCGGTGATGGTTACATTTAAATCTCCTTTTTTCCTTCGTTAGTAATATGCAAACTATTTCCATGCAGGTAGAGGAAGGCTGGTGGAGCGGAACACTGAACGGCAAGTCGGGGTTGTTTCCTTCTAACTTTGTGAAAGAGCTGGAATTGGCAGATGACGGAGAAACACAGGATGCTCTGGATGATGCAGGTGGCGTTCTGTTCTGTCCTAAACCCTTAGCAAAGTCATTTTAAACCTCAGGTGTAATTTGGAGCATTGTGGTTGGACAACCTTCTATTTGACTCTAAGAATAAAATCTTTTAGAGGTACTGTCTGAGAAATACAAAAATGGACACTGGATCAGTGCTTGATCTGATGGTAAGGCGGTTGGAAATCGAGCAGTTCCCCTGTGGCTGTATAGCTGAGGTGGAAGCAGACTGTCTGCAGCTGTCACTTGGTCTGTTGCCTTGAAACTCTACTTCAGAGGTGTTATGTTGTGAGGCATTACGGAAATGGCATGCCTGCAAATATCAGTTTGAGGAGTGTGAGTAAATGCTGTCCCTTGTATCTGAAAGATGGAACAAAACTGTGAATACTTCTGTTATCTACCAGCAAACAATTTCAAACAGCTTTAAACTGATTTAAATGTTGAACATGTTATAATAGTACCTTAATATCATTAAGCTATTTGAATAAATTCACAGAGAGATTGTTTGGGTTATTTTTTAGTACTTGTTTTGAGCAATAGCAAAGCTGCTCTGGGTTCCTGGAGAGACATCAGTCTCTAGAAGTGCATCAGTTTGCTCTGCTGTGGCTGTTGAAACACAGCAATCTTTGAGGTCACTAATAATGTTTATTGATTCTAGCAGCTATAGCTGTGCTGCACGTTCACAAAAATTAACAGAACAGGTAACAGACTGTGGAACATTGATTATGTTTGAAATGGCAAGAAATATTAATGGGCTAACAAGTTGGTTGTCAGAATACTCAGTATAACATTGGCATCATTTCAAATGGACTTACGTTCAATGTACAGCTGGAACAGAACGTGAGGGATTACAGCTGTAGGAAACTGTTTACAAGAGCAATTCACACAGCTGTTCCTCTTCTGTTTTTCCCTCTGAAGAGCAAAGATATTTTCAGCTTTTAAAACAACTATTTTTTCCTTTTTTTTTTTTTCCTTTCCCTATCAGAGCCTGTTTTCAGTGGTCCTACCTCACCTGTGGCCTCTCCCGGGAATGAAAATGAGCCTGGATCTGGACCAGCACAGCCAAAGAAAATTCGAGGCGTTGGGTTTGGAGATATCTTTAAAGAAGGCTCAGTTAAGCTTAAGACAAGATTATCCAGTAATGAATCAGAGGATAAAAAGCAAGATAAGGTTTGTAGTGCTTCATAGTCTTTTTTGGGGTTTCCTGTATTTAAAAAAGGAGGAAAAAAAAAAACCCTGACATTTGGAGAACAAATATTGTGTTGGTGTTGTCTGTTATAAATTTATCAGTATTGTTCAATAATCAGACTGTAATCCTCTGAGGGGTACCGTGGAAAAGGAAAGAGTAGAGTCTTACCTATAAAACAAAGCAAAAACCCCCAACTTCTGTGAGTTATATCAGAGAATCCCAGCATGGCCTGGGTTGCAAAGGCCCACAGCGCTCCTCCAGCTCCAACCCCTGCTGTGTGCAGGTCACCAACCAGCAGCCCAGGCTGCCCAGAGCCACATCCAGCCTGGCCTTGAATAGCCACTATGGAGGCAAAAAGTTCTATTCAAATGTTTGACATTAAAAAGCAAAACAAAACCAAAAAAGCAGAGAGGGAAAATCAAACTTTCAAAGCCTGGTGGTTTAAGACATAATAGGTGTTCCAACACATCTGGCCAGGACAAGGGAAATGGCTTGAAGTTGAGGGAGGGCAGCTGGAGGTTGGATGTCAGGGGAAGTTGTGTGCTGTGAGAGTGGTGAGGTGCTGGAACAGCTGCCCAGAGAGGCTGTGATGCCCCGTCCATCCCTGGAGGTGTTCAAGGCCAGGTTGGATGGGGCCCTGGGCAGCCTGGGCTGCTGTGAAATGGGGAGGTTGGTGGCCCTGCATGGCACAGGGGGGTTGGAGCTTCGTGATCCTTGAGGTCCCTTCCAACCCAGGCCATTCTGTGATCTACAGCAGGCTCTGGTGATTCTTTTCTCTTTAACTGACTTTTTATGTAGTCTGGGCTGCTGAGTTTCTTCAGGAAATATCGTGTTGTGGTTTTCCTTCAGTGTTGTGGTGGATGTTGAGAGACAGTACTGGGTATGGTGCACTGTTACTAGCAGAGGTGTCCTGCAGTGAATGCTGCCAGATTTTTGGCTTTATTGATGCTGCCATAAGCTGAGATTGTGCAAGTGTGACAAGCACTTTTTAACAATTTTGCATCCTCTTTCTCTTGCTTTTCCCCTTTTTTGAGTATGTGGTGAAAGGGGTACTTCTCCACACCTAACTTAGTGCTGAGGAGGGGCACTACACACATCACATTATATACTTAACTTCAGTTCTGTTGTGATGAACCCTACAGAATGCTTACCCCTATAAGCACAGCACAGTGCCTGTAGCTGCATAGTGTACACAGAGAACTTTTGTATGGTTTTTTGCTTTTGACATTTGAGGTAACGCAGTATTTCAGTTTTTATTTAAGTGATCAATTCAAGAAAGCTTCTAAAACCTTTGTGAAAATTCATATTATCTGTGTTATGACTATTAATGCTGCTTTTGGAAAAGGCAGTCCTGACTGATTTGTTTTCTTCTGCTTGCCCAGAAATAACTGCAGTGCTGCAGGGCAGGGAGTGAAAGGAGGGCAGGCAGAGAGGAGGGACAGGCACCTCTAATATGTTGGCCTTTCTGCCCCACACCTTCTTGGTAGCAGTGCTACAAGAGATGCTCATCCAGCTGTGTAATACTGTGTGCATCCTCTTTTCTTCTGGGTTTAGTGAAATCCTGAGGTGGTTCAGAAAACTGAAGTTACCAGTGTGCTGTTTGTGCTCTGGGGGTTGCAAGGCCCGAGGGAAGGCACATGAATCTGCATTCCCTTCAGGCTTTGTCTGCTCAAATTGGAGTCCATGGGAGTTGCTCCACCTTTGCGTGAATGCTGTCAGAATTTCAGATCATTACTCTCAATTTGCATGGACTGCTCACGATTGCTTTTTGAAAGGCAACTTTCCCTACTTTGTAGCTTATAGCTTGGGAGTGGGAGATCCTACCTAAAATACACATTCAATTGATAAGAAATCTGCTAAGCAGTTTTGGACCATGTTATTTGACTACATGAACGCTGAAATGCACTGGTGTTTTATTTTGTTCTTTGCCTTGTTTGTGTTGTTATGGGCTGTTTCTCAGAAGATGGGAAATGAAGTGAGAAAGCAGTTTCTCATAACTTAGAGGCAATAAAATAAACAGTTGAGTTTTGCATTTAATATTCCACTTAAGCTCATTGCCAAAGTCGTCCCGAAGGCAGACGTGCCTGGAGGAGAACATGAGGAGCCCCGCAGAGATAGTTCTCACAGAGGCTTTGTGAAAATGGATGGTTTCTTCAGCTTTCTGCTCAACTCACTTTGGATTTCAATGGAGGGGGACTGGATGGTTGTTCTCCATCTTTAAGACAGCAAGGGAAAAAAGGCAGTCAGGAAACTGTAGAGCAGAGAAGGCTTTTTTCCAGGACTGCTCAGCACAGGCAGACTGAGCGCTCTGAGCACTTTGGATGTTTGTGCCTTTCAGTTAGCTTCAGCATCCTGCATGGGTTTGGGTTATTTATACCCTGTCTGCCTAAACTTCCTCTCACGCTTCTAATTGCATCTCATTTTGGAAAGAGGGAAGTTAGGGAAGATTCCATACTGGACTTGTTTAATGTCATAGGTGGGTTATTTTAGTGCTTCCTTTATGGAGTGAAGTAAATTGTGTGAGTGCTCTCCAGACGTCCCAGATGGCCATAGATAGCTTATTGTATGGCATGTCAGAGGCGTCCAGCACCAGCACACAGCCATCAGCTGTGTTTGAGGAGAGGAACTCTGGTCTCTCTGGCAGTGGTAAGTCTGCAAAGCTTAACTGTAAGCAGCAAGGCATAGATAGGGTAAGTAAAGGCAGTGGGATTTTTCACACTGGTAACACCACTAGGGTTGCTCATGTTTGCACTGACTGTAGGGTATTCTGTTTGCAGCTCTTATGGCTATGAAAAAATGAATGCAATTGAAGCTGAGTCTTCCCAACAGCTCAGCGTATGTCATGCAGACTGGAACAATTACTTTGGCTCGATCTTTACTCTGAGACTTCATACCCAAGCATCTTGTGGTGCGGGAGAGAATGTCTGTTGGATGGATATCTACTACATGGGGTTGTGTTCTGTGAACCACTGAGAGCGAAGGGAAGTTAGGGCAGACTTTCATGTGCTCTTATATCTGTGGCAGTAGTTTCAAAACAAATAAACTCTTCAGCTGAGGTGGTGGGTGGCTACTGAAGATTCCTGCTGTATCCCAGTGTCAAGTAAATACAGTCAGTGAGTTACTGTCAGCAGAGCTGTTAAAGGACCACTTCTGTTCTGGGCCAGAAGAGGCAGTTTCAGTAGTAGAACAGCAACATTTGGGAAGATTGAAATACCAGTGCAGAAGTATATATGGCAGTATAGCTTCCAGTTCAAAAGCTATGCTTTTCAAACCCTACTGCTATACCCAAGCCCTTACTGCAGTTACTGTTATGGCATTATAGTGCATTAAGTACTTAACGGAGAATCTCGGTGAATGTTTTGGAGGTGATAATTCACACCATCTCAGCTTATAATGAGCTTCTGTTAACAAGGTTCTCTTTGGTTCCTACAGCCATCACCTAACCATCCTCCTGGCTCAAAGCTCGCTCATTTTCCTCGCGTAGCAAAAATGGAAAACTCGTCAGAAGCACCGAAGTCAGAAGCTGAAGGCAAACCAAAAGGTGAGGTGAAGGGAAGCACAGATGTTATGTGGTGGCTTTATGTGGAGGAAGTATTTGGATTTCAAACCAGATTATTTTGCTCTCCTGTTCAAAATCTCGTAGTTCTGTGTGTCTTTTTTTGCGTGTCACGTTCTTTGCCTTGGAGGAGTTACACAAATGTGGACGTGTCTGAAGGAGTTTTTGCTCACATTTGGGCAGAAAATTAATTGAAAACATTTGCAAGGAAGAAAACAAGGCCAGGGTTTTCAGTTGGCATTCATTTGCTGTGTTACCATACTTGAACTGGCTTTCATTTTGCCTAGCTCTTAGCAGCCAGCTGGGATGCTGGAGAACTATTGCTGTGTGAGCAGGCCCTAAACTTGGTTTCTGGCCCAGGTCACAGGAATGGCTGTAGGGGTAGGGTTTACAGTGCAGTTGCTGGTTTGTGTGCTCTCATAGATGTATGCTGAGTTTCTTGCATCAGAAAACATAATATTTATGTTCTGTTGAAATCTGTTCTCCAGATAGTCCAGTTCCTTTGGATTTCTGTTTATAATAATAATAATAAAAGTTGCCTCTAAGAATTGATGCCTTCACTGAACAACCACAGTGCACAGTTTATGTCCAGAGGGATGCTTCTTTTTTTTCTTTTTTTTTTCTTTTTTTTTTTTTTTCAGCCAACACAAAGCCTCTTCTGGGAGTGTCAGCCCCAAAGAGAAAACTGACTTCAGTTAGGACAAGGGGAATGGCTTTAAAGTGAGACAGGGGAGGTTTGGGTTGGATATGAGGAGGAAGTTTTTCCCCCCGAGGGTGGTGAGGCACTGGCACAGGTTGCCCAAGGAGGCTGTGGATGCCCCATCCCTGCAGGCATTCAAGGCCAGGCTGGATGTGGCTCTGGGCAGCCTGGGCTGCTGGTTGGCGACCTGCACACAGCAGGGGTTGGAGCTGGAGGAGCGCTGTGGGCCTTTGCAACCCAGGCCATGCTGGGATTCTGTGATTCTATGCAGTGTGTGGACGGCTCATTCTGCCTGCTTCCAAATAAAGATGGTTTTTCAACTTCTGTATTGGAATTTCAAGTATATTTTTATGCAGAAATCAGTTATTTTGGTGAAAGTGGGTTATTGTACAGGGAGTACGTAATTAGCAGAATTAAACAAACAACAGGCCATTGGCTTTTTGCCCGCATTTGGGGGTTGTGTAATCAGGTGGAACAGAGCACTTGGATTGGCAGAGATGTTAGTAAGAGCCCTGCCTTATCTGTATCTCTAGCAGTATGCAAAGTGCATGGCTGTGTGAGCCGGCCATGGCTTTCTGTGCTGGATGGCATGCTGAGCATTGCTGTTTGGTGGAGTGGGGTCAGAGCAGTTAGCTGTTAAGTTTTGTTGTTGCAGAATGTCTATCAAAATAAGTTTGTGTGTGATGTGTTGACTCTCATGCTGTGAGAGTGGTGAGGTGCTGAACAGCTGCCCAGAGAGGCTGTGATGCCCGTCCATCCCTGGAGGTGTTCAAGGCCAGGTTGGATGGGGCCCTGGGCAGCCTGGGCTGCTGTGAAATGGGGAGGTTGGTGGCCCTGCATGGCACAGGGGGGTTGGAGCTTCGTGATCCTTGAGGCCCCTTCCAACCCAAACCATCCTGTGATTCTTTGCTAAGATTCTACTCCCCATAGAAGTAAGCACACCTGAAAGGTGAAGTGTGGTAGTTATAAATGTTGCAGGAGAACATTAGTAGGTAATATCTATAGATAATGTCTTGTAACCTTTGAAAGAAAGCTTGGTGTTCTTTCTTCGTGTTTCTACTTTAATACAGACCAAGGTACAATTACGTGATCCTTACTTTTGAGAGAGTTAAAAATAACCTGTGTTTAACAGCTAAACAGGGAGCTCTTAAAATGTTTAAACTGCTGTGCCTTATTTCAGTGAGCCTCTGCTATTTCTGGGAAGCCTGTTGTGGCCTCTGAGGCAAATATGTAAGAAAGCATTTTGTTTAAAAAATATGATAGGAATCACTGTTTGTCCCCCCCCATCCCCACTGTGTTTGAGTCCAACATCTGGGATTCCTGCTGCTGTACACTTAATCCTCGGTCATTGGAAAGGAGAAAATTTAGTCAGTATTCATAATTAAGAGGGAGTCCAAAGTTCAGATTCATTAGTTTGTAATAATGAAATGTAATGCAAAAAGCGCTTCGCAATTCAAACTTCTACGTTACTATATTTTGGCTTCCTTGTGTTATTTTTATTCTAGCATAGGAAAGGAAAACAAATCTTCTGTCTGTTTGAACTGAAATAGTTTTCTCTATGTTAGGTGGGTGCATTATTGTAGTGTATCAAATGGGAAGAAAGGAGTCATTCTTCCTCCTAATGCCAGAGGGGCTGTGACTGTCAGAGCTGGTTGTTCAGACGAGCTCTGCTTTCTGGTGGTTACAGCCAAGCAATCCCTTGTTTTGACTGCAGAGCTTCAGCAAATGCACTGCTGGGGTATCTGAAATATCTGCAATTGGGCTGACTATAAGGCAATTGAATGTATTTAATTAGGCTTGCAGATGTTGAATTTAGGATAATTTTGAGGTTATAAGGGATTACAGGCTGTGTATGTGCTGCTCATAGGTACTACAGCAGAACAATGTTTTTGTTTGAAGCAGCAGAATAGGGTGTGTGTATATGTGTATATATATATACATATATACATACATACATACATATATATATATATATATATATATATATATATACAAACCAGTGAAGACAGAATGTATTGCATAGTCTATGATGTTACAACTTTGAGTAGTCTGTTGTGAATAAAAAGGGCTTTACCTGGCAGTGAAGACCTACCTCCCTTACATTCTGCTATGATCTTGTTTTCCTCCTGTCTTGAATGACAGAGTGAATAGAATAGTGCTGGATGGCTGCTGTAGAAGAGTGATTACAGTATGAATATTGAGCTCTGCTTTCAAACAGCAGAGTGAGCTTTAGGCCTTTGGTCCCCATGCTGTGCGATGTCATGATGTGCTGCTTTGTTTCAGCCAAGGAGTATTGCAGGACAATATTTCCCCATGAAGGTGTAAATGATGAACTGAGTTTTAAAGAAGGAGAGATTATTCAAATTATCAGTAAGGTAAGATGTTCAGTTTCCTGTAACCACTTATTGCTTTTGTAAGTTTTATACTTAAGTAAAGTATGTTAAGTGAAGTATGTGACAGGGGAGTATTGTTGGCTTGGTAAAATATTTGAGTAGCTTTATGTATTAATGCACATTGTTCTGTTAGGGACCAACCAAAGCCTCCATCCACTAAGATCATACAGTGGATTTCCATGCCACAGTTCTTTTGTTATTGTTTTTCTTCTATCTTAACTTGCCTATTTTTTCCTCAGAAGGGCAGCTTTGCTTACTTTCTGCCTTTCAGACCAATAAACCTGATCATTCAGATCAGAATTTCTTTTATTTAGTAGAACTGTGTGCAGTTCCAACCTCACAGAGTATTTACTGAACAAGTTTCCAGTCAAGGAAGATGAGAACATTGACTGCTGTGCGTTGGATCGTAGCTGGTTTTGTTCTCTTCTTCCACTTGCTGATCTTGTCTTCCCTTGAATGAAGTTACAGTACCATTGTTTAGAAAACCAAGTGGCCAAATCTAGTCAGATCTGAGCTGTTTCCCCTGGCTGAGGTAGCCATAGCATTCTTCTGCTGAATGCAGTATTTTGAAAATGGAGTTCCAGGAACAGAGCTTTCACTCTCTCTATTCTGGGGAAAAAAAAAAAAAAAAAGGAAATATTAATTGAAATAATCTGCTGTTTGTTTTAGGACACTGGAGAGCCAGGCTGGTGGAGAGGAGAACTCAATGGTAAAGAAGGAGTCTTCCCTGATAATTTTGCTGTTCAAATACAAGAATTTGATAAAGACTTCCCTGTAAGTTCCTGTGTCTTTTGTTTAGTAAAACAAAAACATATCAGCAAGGGTTATGAGACTCCACAGCACGTTCTGCTCTTGAAAATACTGATACAAGTGTTCAGTTTTTAACTGAAGAAGATTATCGAAGAAGAAAGATCTAAAGGTTCAACTTTTCTTAAATATTTAATAGAAAGATGCTCATATAGATCTCACATAGAGAAAGGTACAGTGCTGATACTGTGCTGACACGTGTAGGCAATGGCTGAATTAAACTAACAGGTCTGAAGGGAGATGAGCAGTCTGTTCTCTTTCATCTGTAGTCCTGTAAGTGTTTTTGCAAAGAGCTGAAGGACTCGTACACCCATGCAGGACAGGGTGAATTTGGCTCCATATGAGAGCATCTAAATGTCCACGTCTGTGTGTCAGCTGAAAAGGGCTTCAGAACACTGGAAATGAGTGCTGTTTGGTCTGGGACTTGAGACATTGGCAGCACATGGCTAGATTTGACTCAGCGGGTCAGGTTAGGAAATACTGCTTCTATGAGATAGTGGTGAGGGGCTGGACTGGGCTGCCCAGGGAGGTGGTGCAGTGCCCACCCCCAGAGCTGTTCACAGAATGCTCAGATGTTGTTGTACTGAGGTACGTGGTTTGGTGGGAAATATTGAGGGAGGTGGACAGTTGCACTTGGATGATCTTGGAGGCCTTTTCCAACCTTGGTAATTCTGTGATTCTATGGTTTTTGTCAGTTGAAGGAAAGTGAAGAGTGGCTGCCCTGTAAAATTGGGTAATATTCAGTGTTAAATATCAAGTGTGGCACCTTGATATTTAAATCTATTCTGCAGCTGAAGTGCAGCTCTAAGACTCGAAGAAACCTTGTGTTTTGTTCCTGTTCTGGTAACTTGTTGGCTGGGAGATATCAGATGAATACTCGAGTTCTCTCTTTGTTTCCTGTCTGCACATTGATTGCCTCCTTTGTGAAGTGCTTTGAAGTGAGCTCATAAATAAGCTAGATGTTAGATTATGCAAAACAAAAAACAAATGTGTCTGTCACTGATAGAGAATATCTGTTTTATTTACTTCTTTTACAGAAGCCAAAGAAACCTCCACCTCCAGTTAAAACTCCAGGTCTGTATGATGTGCATGCTGGTAGGTGCCTGTGGAAAAGCAGTAGTAGAGGAAGTAGTAAAATGCAAAAACTGTACATGACTTCAGAAGAAAATTCAGAAGTAGCTTTGTATTTCCCAGTGCTGAAGCTGCCCCTAGTCACACTTTGAGGTTCCTTTATGCCTTACGTATTTTATTGCTGCTCTGTATTGCTGCTGTATATTTTTCCAAATTGTGATGGAGCCTACTTGGGAAACACTGTAATAGGAGCCTACAGTTGAGTAAGACTAAATGAGTGTTATACATGGTATTATCCTCCTTGCAAAGGAGAAAGAATATAAACACAAATTCATGTATGTCGTATTTTTAGTTAGTGACTAAGATAATTAAAGCTCTTTGAGAAATGCCTTTGCTTTGGTTTTATGTGCAGCACCCAAGCCTGAATTGCCCACTGGAGAGAAGAAATTCCCTCTGAGGTCTGAAGAAAAAGGTGAGAGAAGTTTTTGTGGTAGGTGTTAAACTTCGTTAGTTTAGCTGCGCCATGCAGCTAACATGGAATTGTGCAGCTTCCAGCTAACAATACAGTCTAATTTGATCTTAATACCATCTCATGGTGTAGCCATGTTTGTGATGCTATGGAATTACCTTTTGAGTGATCAGAGGAAGAAACTTGCTTTATTAAATGTGTCCTCCTTGTTATTGCATAGCTCCCTGAAAGATCATCGAATCCCAGCATGGCCTGGGTTGCAAAGGCCCACAGCGCTCCTCCAGTCCCAACCCCTGCTGTGTGCAGGTCACCAACCAGCAGCCCAGGCTGCCCAGAGCCACATCCAGCCTGGCCTTGAATGCCTGCAGGGATGGGGCATCCACAGCCTCCTCGGGCAAAGGATGTTGTCATCCATCATCTTCCCCTTCAGTGATTCCCATCCATAATCTGATCATAAGAACTGCCCACAGTTATGTGGGGGACATTAATTCAAAAGGTCAAGGTCGCTCACAAGTCCAGAAATCAGACAGTTCTGCTCTATAAATGTCAATCCTACCTGCTTCGTTATACGTGCCATTGATTTGTCATCCTGACCTTCCATGGGGAAGTTGTGTGCTGTGAGAGCAGTGAGGTGCTGAACAGCTGCCCAGAGAGGCTGTGATGCCCCGTCCATCCCTGGAGGTGTTCAAGGCCAGGTTGGATGGGGCCCTGGGCAGCCTGGGCTGCTGTGAAATGGGGAGGTTGGTGGCCCTGCATGGCACAGGGGGGTTGGAGCTTCGTGATCCTTGAGGCCCCTTCCAGCCCAAACCATGCTATGATTCTATGATTCCACAGAACAGTTTTCCTGCAGCATTTCTTCCATTGCAGAAAAGGGCTGTTCTGTACCACACTTTGTTTTTCAGCAGCTGTCACATTCCAGAGCATTTTTGATGTAATGTGTTTTTTCCATAATCCGCCAGTAAATTTGAACTCAACTATGTAAAGGTTTTACACATTACAAACAAAACCAGTGAAACTAAACTTATGTCATTTTAAAGGAACAACCAAGTGACCACCATTTCTAGCATCGTTAAATTCAGTTCCAGGCTGGATGTGGCTCTGGGCAGCCTGGGCTGCTGGTTGGCGACCTGCACACAGCAGGGGTTGGAGCTGGAGGAGCGCTGTGGGCCTTTGCAACCCAGGCCATGCTGGGATTCTGTGATTCTGTGGATGAGAAGTCAGGAATACAATTTGGTGATGGCAGTTCTCTGCCCTATTCATGAACTCACATGTTCTTATCCATAAGCATAATTGTTAAATTTTTCCTTAGCTAAACTGTAGGTGAAATAGAGGTGGGTGATCACCAATACCAGCTGCCACTGAGCGTTAAGAATTTGGATCTTGTAGGAAGCTCGGGAGGGCAGGAGTTGCCCCATGAACAGCGTGTTGTACGTAGGGCAGTCAGCACCACCACGTGGCAAAGTCGTGCATTGCCCTGCTACCTCAGGGCTTTCTTTTGGATGTAATGCATTTACTGATGTACAGGCTCACCTTTAAAGTACTGTAATCTTTCACTGTGACTTACTGGGAGTTTTTCAAACTGCCAATGCCAAGTGCATGCCTGACTGAGCTTTGCATGGAGAGCAGAAAGTATCCTTCAGCCTGTGTGTAGGGATCGTGCCAGTTGAATAGTCTTCATTTTTCCATGACTCTCATGAGTTCTGTGTGTCTCAACGCTGACAGGGCGAGGGGAAATGGCCTCAAGTGGTGCCAGGGGAGGTTGAGGTTGGATGTCAGGAAACACTTCTGTACAGAAAGGGCTGCTAAGCACTGCCATGGGCTGACAGGGAGGTGGTGGAGTCCCCATCCCTGGCTGTGTTTCAAACCGTTTGGATGTGGTGCTCAGGGCCATGATTTAGCGGAGGGCTGGTAGAGTTGGGCTGGGATGGTTGGGCTGCGGTTGGACTCCATCATCTGTAAGGGCTTTTCCAACCTGATCCTATCATTCCATGATAAGGTATCACTTCAGACACTTGCATATCTGTTTTTTCACTACTACCTGAACCTGGGATTGTTTCTGACAGCAGTTGCTTTGTGAGTGATTAGCATTGAAGGAATCCTAGACAATACAATTTTTGATGTTTTGGTGACTTAATTTGTCAGATGAAAAAGGAGCTTTGGATCAGAAGCCTTTGAAGCCACATGCTCCTCAAGTACCACCCAAGAAACCCATTCCTCCAAGCAAGTCTAACAGCTTACTGAGAGCGGGGATTCTGCAACTAAAACGTCCAGAAAAGCCTGTTTTGCCATCATCCGTATCCAAGTCAGTGTAACTTTATTTGTGTTTAATATATTTTATATGGCAGTGTGCCACAGGATGAAGAAGTTGTGATTATAGCAGTAATGTGGTATAAAATAATTACTGGATGTTAAGAAAAATGTTATTGTGTTGGGAAAAAATGATTAGAGCCAAAAGTGCAATGTTTCAGCACTTCAGAATAAAGCAGAAGAAAAAGAGGTCAGCACCATGCTGTGCAGAAGGTGCTCAGAGTGGCCATCTTCTCCTTGGGGAAGAAAGCTGTTAGTATGGAGACTGCAGGTTGTTCTGGGGTTGTTCTGAGGTTTGTCTTGAGTATTGTCACTTGACTCACTGGGCAGTTACCCAGGGGATGTAACAGCAAGCAATTGCTCACTCTTAGTTCCAGTTCTCTGAATTTTCTTTCTCCTGAGTTTGAAACGATAATTCACAGAGTTCCAAGAACTTTGCATCAATACAGTCCTTCTCCATCCCCACCCCCTGCTGCAGTTCCCCCCTTTCTGCCTCCAGCCAAGTTGTAGCCAGGTTCTTACCTACCAGTGCAGGTACGTTGTCACTTGACATCTTGGGATGTTTCCCAAGTGGAAATTTTGTCGTCTCTACCCATACTGATTAAGGATGGAAAAAGGAATCTGTATGTGTTTACAACAGTTGTAGTAAACTGTAGTCCTCTAATAATTGCCAACATCATATTTTAGGGATTTTTGAGTATGTTAAACGTCTGAAACTTAACGTTGCTTCAGGGAGATGAATGTGGTATTGCTTTTTCTGCTGCAATGTAATTTCCAAATAAAAAAAGAAGTCTGGAACAAGTGTTAAAGAAAGGGAGATGCTGAGGTTGGCATCTAGTCAGTTTGTGTCCTTTGCTTTTATAGCATGGCATAAATGGTGGCAAGACCTGCAAAGGGGGAGGATCACCTCTTCTTTCTTTAATTCCTTGACTAGGCATCCAAAGGATGCATGGTAGAAGAAGAGCCACATGTGCAGGACACAGGTCCTGTGTGCAGAAGGAAAGAACTTCTTGGCAGCTTTCTTCTTTGAAGGAGAATTTTGGTGTGAGGGAATCCGAGTGTTTGAATCTGAATATTTCAAGAGAGATTACTGAAGGTGTTATTCAGCTTGCTTGTTTCCTGTAGCACTGAGGTGTGATATTTTAGGTTTAAGTGCAAAAGTAGGCCCTGTAGTAAACACACTAAAAGTTTTCGATAATTTTCAAGGGGATTGTGCATGTCTGACAACTCTACTAGAGCTGGAACAGGTCATGAACTGGCTTTTATCATAGTAGAATTGCTTTCTGTAAGACTTTATTTTAAGCAAAGGATTTTAAAAGTGGTGAAATCTGACATATATATATATTCTTATTTTTGGCATGTTGTAAACTATTGAATGTCATGTCTAGCTGTTGTCACTTTTCTATTTACAGATCTAATGGAGAAGTTGTTCATCTTCGACCAAAATCTGAAATCGAGCCAGTAGCAAAACCAAAGTTGGACTCTGAACAGTTACCAGCGAGACCAAAATCAGTAGAGGTAGATTCACTTGTGATAAAGAGCTCTCGAGAATCAGGTAAGAAAGCAATAAGTTCTTCTGGATCTTCCTGCTTGGACTGTGGTGTTTTACAGCCTTGGAATAAGGTCAAAATGGCTCAGAGTGCAATTATGCCCCTTCTGTTGAAAATGTGTATTTCTAGAGTAGTGCAGGCAGCTCATGTTAAGAGTTAGAAAGCAAGGAACAGGTTTCATAGGGTATTTGGAGGCATAAGCTCTGTTACAGCTATGATAGGGAGGGAAGAACACAGGTATCAGCTTATTCTTCCAGTTGGAAAGCATGGTTTTTTTGCTATCACTTTTATCTTGCATTTTGTTTGTTCTGCTCTTGCATTTCAGGTAACTTTTGCATTTCTATCTAACTTGCCTATTTCCAGTAGTGCCATTAACTTTTTTGCATTTTGTGGTTAAGTTGGCAGCTCCTGTGGGTTATGATTTTCTTTTCCTCAGGTGTAACAATCCTGATATCTTTAATAACCAGAATGGCAAGGCAGCAGCTGTCAGGCTAGGTATTTGTACATCGTAGAATCCTAGGATGGCTGGGGTTGAAAAGGACCACAGTGACCATCCAGTGTCAACCCCCTGCTATGTGCAGGGCCGCCAACCACCAGACCAGGCTATGCGTGAAAGCTCATTTCAGACAGATATGAAAACAAAACAGAACACACAACTGTTCGTTCCTATTTGTTCCTATTTGCTGATGTAAGATTTTTACAGGCTCAAAAAGAAATTTTAGATTTTGGTATCCAAATTGATGGGAAAAATAAAAACAAAGCATCCACTGGCTGCCAGAACGTGCTCTGGAATTTGCAGCTTGATATGGATTGGCTCTTGCTCCTAACAATCTGAGATGTCTAAATCACAGCAGGTTGATCACTGACTGGATTACGGGAGGGGATGTTAAAGGCTTTACCATGACTGACCCACAGCAGCTAACAGGGCTGCAGGCCGGAGGCGTTCGAAGCCAAAGGTGCTGCAGCACTGGCAAAGCAAGAAGCTGCTATTTGAGGAGAGTCCTCTGTTGTGTCCAAGTGCCCCTGTTCAGAATTATCTGCACCTCCTGGTGTTGCTTTTCCTATTTTTTTTAACAAAGAGTCCAAGCTTCAGCTAGCAGAACATGAAGCACCTCGTGCTCTGTGTGCATGCTGCTGTGTGCACACCCAGTGCAGCAGCTGCTGCTATAGGATGCTCTGAGGACACCAGGCCCTTTCATATTGTTTAATCTTACAAGAACTAAAAATCTTAAGCTAATTAAAATACTGAGAAAACCAAACCATATGTCTGGGGTGGGCACTTCTGGATGTTCTTGCAGGTGCTGATATTACCAGCACTATTATTATTATTTTTTTTTTTGGAAGTGATGAGTTTCTTGTAAACCAATTTATTTAATTATGAGGTTCAGCAAATTGGTTTGAACCTTAAGTGTGGAAAGTTCAGTCATTTCCAATTTACCTTTAATTGAGCTGAGGGTGGAGCTGTGAATGCTGTGTATATACAGGGGGGTGGAGAAAAAAACCAAAAAACTGCAGGCAGAAAATCAGGCCCTCAGCCATCAGATAAGGAAGGACAGGCAGAAGCATTCAGAAACATTGGTCATGTTGGAATTCCTTCTCCTGAAGCTTGGTTTGAAGAGTTGCATAAGCGTTTGTGTGTTGGGTTGCAATTAAGTACCACCAAAGCTGTAATGCACTTTGCTGAACGTTTAAAGCGGTTCTGTTTCTTCTAGAAATGTTTCTTTTTTCCTGCTTTGTAAAATAATTTTTTTGTTGGGAATCTTTTTCTAGACATTCCTCTCCTTGACTTTTCTTTCCAGATTTTGTTTCCTATCCTGTTTGCCATGTTTCCCTTCTTACGTGTCAGGATCTTACCCTACCCTCCTCCATTTTGGTAAGATAACAATCTATAAGGAAATCCAAATGCTTGATGCCATGCACGTAGCCTCTTCTTAACTTCATAAGCATAATTTTCAGTTGCAGTTATTTGGGTTTCAATTTAAAATGCTTTTTTTTTTTTGTTTATTTGAATGCTTCTTTTCCTTAGCTGTGCAACGAGAAGTTAAGGCTGCTCTTTGGTTAGGAACTCGTACAGGAAAGATAAAGACAAATGACCTCTCCTTAGTCCAGCTGCTGGTAAGCTGGGTGTAGGATCTGCAGTGAAATGTGTGCAGTATTTGTAGCACTTAGGGCTGTGTAGATTGAATGGCATTTACCTTCACATCCACACAAATAACTGTGCAGTGTTTGGGCACTGAATTCTCGAGTGTTGGCCATTTATTATTGTGAGTCTTGCAAGGTAGCTGTGACAGAAGTTACGTATTGGGATGCTCAGTTATAGCAATACCTCATTACTGCTCAGCTGCAAATTTAAATGTGATAAAATGTACCTCTGTCCCCTGAATTCCTGGGCTGCAGTCAATGCAATGTGAGTGACAGGAGTTGGTGCTGCCACATCTTTCCGCTCTGTAGATTGATGTCAGGTCTTCTGAAAGATCAGATACATCTCAGTTGCAGTGTGGGTTTTGCATCCCAGCACGATGGGCTGTATGAACCCCTTTGGCTTTGCTTCCTTTTGGGAAGGCTTTTTAATCAAGCTGATGGGAATACATTAAAGCTTTCACAAATTGTATCGCAGCCTCTCACCTAACTGCATCTCTTCCAGTTCCTGGCAGTTCTACAGAGCAGGGACCCAGGTTGAGCCTGCAGAAGAGATGCTTCTAACAGCGTGCCCTACGTAACTGTTAAAGGTTCACTTATCTTTCCTGTGGGAAAGGTGTCCTCTCTCAGCCTTAAAACAACTCCTGGATTGCAGTTATTTCCAGATGTGGTGTGTCATCTTTTGGCACTGGGCTGGAATTCCCTGCACTGATTGCACACAGGCTGTACGAAAATATTTCTACTGATTGATAAATCACTGCATCCACTGAAGTGGGGGCATAAATTATGAAATTGTGGTGTGTTTCACCATGATCCCTATTGGTTTCAGCAAAGTCAAGATGTGTCCCAACACACCTGGAAAAGTTGTTTAAGTACTAATAAAAAGCAATTACAAAGAACACAGCCACACACTCACCCATCTGCAGCTCCTCTGGCCGCAGTGTGCTGGTGGGTTTTAGTGGTGAGCAGCTGCCCAGCACACCAGCTTCTAGTGGAAGGAGCTGCTGAAGGAGGAGGAGACCCCTGGGTTCTGTTTCACCCCTTTGGCTGTTTTAAATCCTACCCTGCTGCAGCCTCAAATTGCATCTGTGTGAATTGCTGTGGTGGTTTTTTCTTCTGTAAACACAACATTCTGCATAAGTTTGTTACTGATACTTTGCTCATGGAGACAGGGCTGCTCTTGCAGACGTCGTAGTAATTCCATTTTACATTCTTACTGCCAAATGGATTATTACTACAGAAGGAGATCATTTACAAATGATTGAAATGGGAGGAAAATGTGTGTGTGTATATATTTTTTTTTCCTCTCTTCCTGTTACCTTTTCATAGAACACCTAACCCAAACAAGTCCTGCTCCACATTAAGCTTACTGAAGTTTGAGTGAAATCAGTAGGACGTGCTGCTAGGTAATTTTTGCTTGATTTCTAACAAGCAGAGTGCTTTATTGGCACGGACTGTGAGCAAGAGAAGTGCCTTAAGAGTCAGTTCTCCCTCAGCCCCTGCTCCATCAGCCCCTTGCATCATCACTCCTCTGTTTCTTCCTACTTTGTTGTTCTTCCCTGCTTTTCTAAAAATTGCAGGCATGGTGTCCATGGGTAATGAGGTCACCCACGACCACCTTCATGTTCTCTGCAGTAGAACTGACTGGCAGCACAGCGGGCTGGCAGCTGGTACTGCTACAAATGCTTCCATTTCAGAAGGCAGTGGATGATGAAGTGGGAAGTCCAGATATATCTGGAAGATGGGAATGTTTTAAGGACTTAAAAGATAATGAGACACAGTAGTAGATGCTACAATCAGTTAAGCCACTCATTCGAAGGCTTAGATTCCTACAGCTGTAAATTAGCTTTGATAACGCAAGTAGAACTTTGTATTAATCAATGATTTCATGTCAGCTGAACACCAAAGTGGCCTGAGTGGTCCAGCCCAGTATTCTTGTGGCCTTTTTCTTGTTTGACCTCTTGCTAAAGCTTGAGAACAGTTGAGAAAATAGGGCTGTTGTAGCTTCTGCTAGATAGATTGGGATGCCACGTGAAAACCAGAGGTTGCAAAACAAAACAGAAAACCCAGCAACACTTGGAAGCACCTCTGCTGCACATAGTAATGCTGTGTGACATATTAGTTAAGCATTGAGAGGCCCTAGAACAAGCTTGCTGAATTTGTGCTGTAAAATCATGTCTTACATCAACTCTTAAATAAAAAGCCTGTCTCAGTGGATGCCTGTTGGCAGGTAAGGATTGACTGACTTTTGTGGAGGCTCAGTAAGAAGCCCAGTTGTTAACTAGGTGAATTACAAATGTTCTGTGTTTGTGTAGATATTTCTCACAGTCGTATCTCCCTGCCAGATGTAAAGAATTTCTATTGGTAAGGGTTGTAAGGGGACTGGTGGGGGGAGGAAAGCAAGATTTCATGTGAGAGAGGTTACTGAGAGCTGAAGTGTGGAGAGTGCAATCAGTGAAAGGTCTATGTGCCTTAATGAAGCATGAAACGAGGTTCTAAACTCCAGGTTTTGTCACTGACTTGGGGCCACGTGGTTTCTGCAAAGTACTGCATACAAGAAACTCCACTGTACAGCCATGTTTGCAGAACGTGACCTTACAGAAAGGTTTGTGTCTTGCTGACACACTCACATGAGCCTCTGGATCTACTGTGTTGCTTTCATTTCTGACTCAGTTGCTAAATGGGAGTTTTTGTGCTTTCATGCTTAGTGGGCAATAAGAAAACAGGCTGTTTGCAAGGATTGGAGAGTGCATCTCCCAAAATGATTGTTTTTTTTTATTATCATCTCAGAGAACAGTAAAAACTGCATTGTTCTCCAAACACACCAGCTCTGTTTCGTGGTGCTGTGTTACTGCAGCACTGCTTCAATTAGAGCTTGAATTTAAGTGCTAGACGAATCAATCCTTAGTTTTTTCAAGGGGGAGAATGACTTCTCTGATATGCCAAAGTCACGTAGTCGTGTTACACAGCTCGTGTGTTGGGTGTGCTGAGGATCTCTGAAGCAATAAGGACTCTGATTATTTACGTGTTTAGTTTTTGTCTCGTGGAAAAATAACGTTAGAAAGGAGCGCGGCAAAACCTTCTGCTCTTGATGGCCTCTGTTCTGTTATCCTTCCCTAGATCTGCTAAGCTTTGATGATGTAATAGCTACCTCAGACAACCTGTCGCATCCCACCGCCAGTCGGCCCAAGATGCCCGGCCGCAGGCTGCCCACGCGCTTCCACTGCGGCAGTGCTGTGAGTATCCTTTGCCCGAGGAGCCTGTGGGTGCCCCATCCCTGCAGGCATTCAAGGCCAGGCTGGATGTGGCTCTGGGCAGCCTGGGCTGCTGGTTGGCGACCTGCACACAGCAGGGGGTTGGAACTGATGAGCGTTGTGCTCCTTTGCAACCCAGGCCGTTCTGTGATTCTGTGATGGTGGTGCATTTGTTCCAGAAGTGAACTCGGATCTGCAGCCATCAGTCCTACCAACTGTTTGCAAATGTACCTGAGAAGAACAGCACAGCTGTGTTGCTCTTTCCAGACCCTTCCTGTTCTGTAGGGTACTGCCAGGTCTCCCAGCAGCACTGGTGGTGCACTGAAGACACAGGCTTTAGCTCCACAAGGCCTTAGCTTAATGTTATGTTGGAAATGTTGTCAACTGTTAAAGCACGAGGTTGTTAGAGAGAGAAAACAAAGTGGAGTTCTTGATTCTTACATCATTTTACAGATGTATTCAGATAAAGACATACACTATATATATATATATAGTGATCTGTTTCATAGTTCAGTCATGTCAGCTACCATATGCTTAACATTAACTGCCTGCTAACGGCTTTGTGTAGTGGAAGTACCTGCAGATTGCTCAGAGCACCAAGGACTCGCTCTGCTGAGCGCTGCAGAGAAGCTTGCAAACCCTGCCCAAAGTTTGTTGGGTTTACATGCAGATCAATGAGCACTGTGGGGAAGGAAAGTTCTGAGCAGGGAAAAAACCCCACAGCAGTCTAGCAATACAAACTTGGTATCAATGGCTTTTTTAGAAACATGGGCTTTTTCTTTTTTTTTTTTCTTTCCTCCTTATTCTGAAAATGTTCTGAATTGTTGATTTTCCAGGCGAGTCAAAATGACAGTCCAGAAAAAAATTTGAAGGTGCAGAAGGAAGAAGAAGAAAGTGCCAAACCAAAGCCAGTTGAAATGAGAAAGGTAAGACACCATGGAGCCAGAGCCGTGCCAAGCAGCTGGCTGCTGTTTCTCTTGCTTGTGTTACCAGGTCAGGCTGATGCAACCCATCACAGCACAGAGTCCAGAACTGGATGATCTTTAAGGTCTCTTCCCAACCAAGCCATTCTGTAATTCTAAATACAGATGGTAAATTGTGTCTGTACAGCTGAATGCTGTAGCTCCCATAGCAGTACAACCTGTACACTGTAAGTAGGTAGTTTAGAAAGTTTGCATTGCTTAGCTTTCTACTGATTTATTTTTTCAGCCATCTGTGATGAGTTCATCAGTTCCATCTTCATCTCAGAGACCAAGTTCTGTCATCCTCAACTTTTTTCCTGGAGAAACCCAACCTAAAGTTGAAACTGATAATTCACAGGCTTCTGTGGAAGAGCTCAGGGCTCAGATTCATGATTTGATGAATTTAGTAGATGCACTGAGAAAAGAACACGGGTGAGTATTTCCCTTCCCAACCTACAAATGGTTACATATGTTAACGTCTTCTAAGTGTCTTTAATGCCAAACTGTAATTCTGTCTTTGGTTTTAGAACACAGACATTTGTTCTGGACCTGTTTAAGTGATGATTTGTGCTATAAGTAACCCAGCTGTTAGAGTTTTGAACAGGCTGTGAAACATCTGGGCTGGTTAGCCTCCAAAACAGACCAGTCCATGATGAGTGCAGGAGCTTAATGAATTAATTTGTTCAGAGATGTAGTGATCGTTCTTATCTGAATCCAGTTATGAAACAAAGCATTCTATGAGTTTTCTGCTCTAAACAATTTCTATGTGGAGAAGTTGCCAGGTTAGTTTGAATTCACCTCTCCAGACAGAGTAATTGTAGGAATGTTTCTGAAATAGCCCACTGAAAATCCTGACTCAAAGTCGGGGATAGCTGCACGATGATTGGTGTGCTGGAGCTGCTGGAAGCTCCTGGTGCAGCACATTGGAACCCCTGGGCATGAGTGGGTCTGTAGTTGCATATGTTTGGTTTGTAAGATGGAGCATCAGACTTGTGTGAATCCCTCTTGTGAAACGGAAACAAGGCCTGTGCTTCCCCCTCCTCTAACTTTGCTTTCTGTTACTTTATAAATTATTAGGAGAGAACTGGAAAAACTAAAGAAGGATTTGGAAGAAGAAAAGCTGATGCGAAGTAATCTGGAGGTAATGTGAGCAATTCAAAGGAAGAACAAAAGATTTAGGAGCATATATACCTTGCTCAGGAGTTTGATTGCGGAGGAAGGTCTGAAAGGACCCTCTCAACATTTCCTGCAGTGATTTGCTGGGGTGTAACTGCAGGAATGCCTCACATGGCAGGTAGATCTGCGCAGGAGATTCACAGTTCCTCTTAGGTCAGCTCTTTTTGTTTGGGAAATAACCACCTTTAACTGTTTGTGTGTTGGAATATCAGGTGAGTGCTGCTAGATTCTGCACTGTGCTGGAGGTGTGTCACAGTGGGATGTGTTCCAAGAGAGACCATACAGAGTTTGGATGAATTTAAAATATGTATCATCAAAAGAGAAATAGGAAAACGTCAGCTTTCCTAAATTCTTGATGGTCCGTCTAGAGAAAGCCAAAAAGAATAGAATGCATCTGAAAAACTTCCCTCTGGGCATCACCCACCTCAGATTCTTGATGAAAGCAAGCTGCATTATGGTATCGTGTTATTAACTTAATAGGATGAGCTCGTTATAGAAAAATACTTTAGTCTGATATGAATGGGTATTATCTTTGTGAAATAGCACTTCTTATTGACTTAAAGCTGCTGTCAAATCTGGAGGAGAAATTCTGGCAAGTTCTCTTGAATGCATCTCTGAAGCTGCCTGGAGTATGCACTGGGCGTGAAGAGGAAGCGAGCTGCTTGTTTCTCCTAAATCCATTTGAAGAAATAAAGGTTAAAACCAGCATGCTGTCCTGCATGAAGGCTGTTCTAGGAAGCCAGCCTGATCCAGTGCATCATTACACAGAGACACACTGAGAGACTTCACCCTTCAGCTTTGTTACTGTGTCGTTCTGACCGAGTCGATCCGCCTCTGTGTACCAGGAGTGCAGGCAAATCTCTAATGATTGTAAATTCCTGCTCATTAAGCAGCCTGGTAGCATAGCAGCAGCCATAAATATTGAGCTGTCAGGGCTTCTGTGTTACGATTTCATTTACTTAAAGCTCTTTGAGGCTGGTGAAAGCTGTGTAGACTTCAGATTGTTGTGGCTCTAACGCTGACTTTTCTTTCCAAATTGTCTGTTTTCCAGCTTGAAATAGAAAAACTGAAGAAAGCAGTGATGTCTACATGATGCGCCCATGGACTGGATGTCTTCAACTTGCCAGGAATGCAAAGCTGAACACGAGTAGAACTGACTCCCTTATTTCTCATTATGGATGCTGGAGTTCTACAGTCTTAAGGAAATATAGTGCAACAAAGGAATATAGTCTTTTATTCAGAGATAAAAAACAAAAGAGAAAAATGGTGTAATTTTCTTGCCAATATAAAAGAGGCCTTATTTCTTACTGTGCTGGAATTGCAGACCTTTATTTTTTTGGTTTGCTTGACAATACTACTGAATCTGTATAAAGAGGAGAGGGAATTCTTAATAGATTTTTATTGAATATCTGTAGCTTAATTTTTAAAGAGATCTATGCTATAAATAGGGTGATCTATCTTCACAAGTAATCTGTAAAACAGTCCCTTGGGAGGGACAGATAGCTGCATGGGAATTGGAGTCACTGTTTTCCCCCCCGCGTGCGAAAGGGCAGAGATGCTGTTTGCAGAGATGCTGTTTGCAGAGATGCTGTTTGCAGAGATGCTGTTTGC